GACCTGGAAGAGGTTTCCGACGACCGGCCAGCCGCGGGGCCCCGGAGGAAGATTCAGGCGACGGTTAGAGGTGGATTTGCGTGTGATAAGGAAGATGAAGGCAGAGACTGCGAAAGCCAAAACGGAGGCGAAAACGATGGAGTCGTCGGAGGAAATGGAAGAGAGAAACGCCATTGTTGTCAAATGTAAAGAAGTGAGGATACATCCAACTACCAATTTGAGAGGGAAATTTATAGAACAATTTTGAAAACCTTTTTTTTCTTTTTAAATTTCTCTCTCTCTCTTAATCCGTTCACGTTATCAATACTTTGACGTATTTTGTTATTCAAAAAGAAAAAATTGACATATTTTTATTACATTTAATTGACGTGTGATTGCGCTAAAATTTTTTAGCTAATAAAAATACCTTACATCAAAAGGTATGTTAGTATAAATTCTTCGTGGCCGTACTTATTCGTGATCTTTGCATCAGAAAGATGTGTTAGTTACAGTTGTGATAAATTATATTTTTAAACAATGTTTTTCTGAAATACTAATCTAAATATTAAAAAATAATATTTTTGTCGTTTTGGTTCATTTTAGTTTTAAAAGTGACGGTAGTTTTTATATTTTTAAAATGTTCATTTTTTTTTATAATCGGGAGTCAGAGCTTTTCTCTCTTTTACCTGAGGCACCCATGCCCGTCTCAAGGTCCAAATTCAGGACACATTAAGAGTTTTTAGTATTAAGCTCATATGAAGGTTTGCGCTTGAGACCTCTAAGTTGGTATGATCAAAAGATCATATTTACAATATTTTTAATATTTTTTTTTACACAATGAAAACTCTTTAATGCAAATTATTTATGGCTACCCTTCAAAAAAATTATTGAGTTAAATGTCATGGTAAAATTATGATAGAAAGAACTAAAATAAAATAAAAAATATAAGGACCAAAATAATCATTTTTTAAAAAATACAATGATAAAAATGAACGAAACTAAAATAAAGGATTAAAATGAAAAAAAAATGGGAGCAGAGAAAAAAAATAGATATTAGTCGATTCCATTGGCTTAGAAAGTGAGTAGAAACTCCAAGGATGGCTGGATAGTCAGGTATTTTCTCAAATTATTTATAAAATAATGCACAATTACCAATTTTGACTCATTTGAGTAGAAATATTTAGGAAGTAGGATATGTATTTGGTGTCAAGAAGTAAATTACAATTACCAATCTTGTTTAAACTCTAACTTTTATATGTCCTAGTTTATTAATATCATAAAGTAAGCCATTTTTCTTTCCTCCTCCAAACTTATTATTACATTCTAGTTTTTAAAATTTTAAAATATCTATTTCAATCGTTCCATTCTAACGCATATAATTTAACGGTAAGAATTTTAAAATTTTGAAAACAAATATTTTGAATTGATAAAAATTTTACCAATAACGAACCCTCCTTGAAGCATTTCGTCGCTTACTACGCCCCGAGGGAAAATATGTGTCCAAAAAGGCTACGAAAGCAAATAACTTTTTTTCTTTAGGTTGAAGATTAAAATCTTTCATCCCCCATTTTATTTTTATTATACTTTATTGTACTAAAGTGTGTGTTATATACATCTATACATACAAAGAACCGGCCGATCATTCCGCTGGCATCTTGCATTCCAAGCAGTGGGAGGAGACCAGGACTCTGACCGCGTTCCTGGGATGAACGAGTATGCGAATAAATTCAAGTTGAGTGACATCTGAAAGTCTTCTTCGGATTCTGCTCTCGCAGTTCTCAAAGTAGCGAAGTGACCAGAGGGAGAAGCTCTGATTCCTCTTGTTGAATCGACTCTTGGTTAAATTACAAAAATACTCTTAGAACTTTATCATTTGTTTTCAAAAAAATACCAATATCTTTTCAAAAGTTTCAACATTATCCATAATTTTTCAAAAATACCATTTAAGCAAGCAATCTGATAATATTTTAAACAGAAAATGTGTCTTAATCTAAAAGGTAAATAATGGTAAATTTTGGTAGACGAGGGAGAAGCAAATTCTTTTTGACAATGAAGAAAGAGGACTTTTATGACAAAATTGGGACATTGAGTGCCACGTTAATTGTCACTTCATGTCAGATACTGTTCAAAATATTAATAGATGTTTGTTCAAATGACGTTTTAAAACTGTTTACTAAAGATCGAGCGTAGTATTGAAACTTTTGGATGGATAAAAATATTTCTAAAATTGGGGGTAATTTTTTTGTTATTTATCCTAAAAAGAAAGTAGTAAAAATTTTAGAATAAGGTTAGGGGGCATTGAATGTGTTTGAAGGAATGCATGCATTGGTGGAGAGTGGAATACAACTTGTAATATGTGTCCATATTAAAGTCCACCGTTTTCTATCTCATCATGTACCAATATTTTTATATTGATTAATCAGAAAAAAAAAATTTAAATAAACTTATCACGTTAATCAAATTAAAATTGGCAATAGTTTAAGTCGATGTTAGTTTTTTTTACAGAACATGCGAAAGTGAGAGTTCGAAAATACCAACTTTTTAGTTGTTCGTATATGTCTTAATCCGTCGAATTAAGTTCGAGTTGGCAATAAAATTTGGGCAAAAATTTTCTTTATTTTTATTCTTTTAATATAATAAATTGAGGATAGGCGACTCGACCTTCGACTTCAAGAGAAGGAGCGAATTTCTATTACTCCTAAGTTAGACCGGTGAATTAGGCCAACATGAGCTTAGAGATAATAAGGGAAAATAAATAAATAAAGATCGACAGAAAGTTTGGGATGTGGTTACAAATACTATAGCAAGCATTAAATATACAAAGGGCAAATTTGGAATCATAAGTTTCTATTGTTAGATTAAGGGTCAACCATAATTAATTGCAGGTGGTAGCTTTTTGAATTGTTTATATCAAAATTAGATTTTTTTTTTTATTAGTTCAACAAATCAAATATAGAGGGGAGGAGTTATATACTTTTATTGTCGAATTTATCTCAAAAGAAATTATTATTCGCTGAATTTTAACTAATTGATTTAAGAGGCATTTTCATAAATAAAATAAAAAATAAATATATTTTTCAATTATAGCAAAAATTTTATAAAAATAGCACAATTTAAATCACTCTTGATCTCAAATGTAATATAAAACACATCAAGAAAAGTTAGGATTACGCTGTTTGAGAAAAAAAAAATGTAATCATGTTAAATTTATACTATGAGATATAATTTCTCTTGATTTAATATATCTTCATACCATGTTCAATTACTCCACCCTAAATTTGTATTTCCAAAAATTAAAAATTAAAAATTAAACCATCAATAAGTTATTCACAAACATTTATATTGCATACAAATATTCATTTTAAATCTTAGACTTAAATTTTATTCAAGCTCCTAAATTCTCACATCTTATTCCATTTTGACTGTAATATTTTAAAATATTATGTTTTAACCCCTAAATTATAAACAAAAATACTTATGTTAATTAATCAAAATATTTGTAACAATGACTTAAAATGTAAATTGTGATGTCATGTAAAATTTTTGTTAAATGTAATAAGAAAATTTAGAAACTAAATAGAATATTTTTATAAAATAAAAAAAAAGAACAAAATTTTATTCAGAAATGAAGCTACAATTCACATGAGAGATGGAATAATTGAAGAGTGAAGTTCATTTAAGGAGGAGGTGGGGGGAAGTTGTGTTCATTAAATACTCCTCTTTATTTTAAACTATTTCTTTATTCCCTATTTCTTATTTAAAATTTTGAATTATAGATATCCTATAAGACACATTTTTTATTAATTGATAAATATTGTAGCCTAATTTTATGTATATTTAAATACTATTTTGTTCTCTATGTCATTTATTTTGGTCCATTTGGATTTATATAATTTCACAACATTCATGGTAGTCGGTCACTATATTCAAAGTGAAAACTTTTGTTCATTTTAGTTCATGTAATCTCAAAACGTTCATTTTAATCCCTATTGACAAAATTTTAACACAAATTTTGTTTAAAAAAAATTTATTGAATGAAGTACTATGATAAAATTGTGATCAAACTAAATCAGATAAGGAAAATAAATAAAAATTAAAAGTAAATAGACCAAAATAAACAAAACTTCAACTTGAGCGTATTTGAACCGTTAAGACATCTCTAGATTGAAAATTTTGAGGCTAAGTTTTTTTAAAATGTGATATAAATTTCCCATTTAAAATACACAAGGATTGCCGTTTAATTAAGAAGAAAATGAAAGATAAACTACAATCTAATTGGGAGGCTCTTAGCCCACTTTATTTATTGGTTGAAATCTTTGGGTCAACATTTTCATTTGTTCATTTTAACTCTGTATAAGTGGGGCATTACATACAACTTCTTGTATCGATCTTTAAAAAAAAGGTACTTTCAATATTTAATTCATCCATGTACTTGGTATGATATTGAAAAATAATACTCAATAATACATCCTTAACATGTAAAAGAAATTATTACGAATAGGATAAATGTTTAATGCTGATTTCTTAGTTTTATGGTTATTTTCAGCTATTTTTCATTATTAATATTCAAGCAACTAAACAATCCATTAAGACCACAATAAAGAAAAATAAAACTATCTGCATACGTACTGTTCAAATTTAAGGCATTAAGAACTAAATGGTCGAACCTGAAACATGAGATCCTATACATTTGTATCCGATATGTCGAACCAGATAGGCGCACGCCATCGGTACGACTTCAAAATTTACTATTCAGTTTCCAATCCCTGTGAGTCAGAATTGTGAGGCATAAAGCTTCAATATAGAAGGGAATTCATATTAAAGAATTTAAAGTATGTTTGACAAAACATTCCAAAGATCAAAATTTGGAGATTCAAGGATGGTAGGAAACAGCCCCTGCTTCACAATAAGAAACTGGAAACACACAATGGCCCGTGACTTTTCCCCGTCCTCCGTCTTCATCCTCTGGTGTGATAATATTATAGCTACTGAGAACTAAACGCTCATTCTAACCTTCATCAAACTTGATCTTCTTGGGAGCTGGTTGGACACTACCCACCTGCAAATTCTCTAGAGATCAGCAGAAGGCCTAATAGAAGGGGAGAAACCCCTGGCGGTAGTTTGGAATTCAAATCATGACGCCAAATCTCAAATTTAGAAAAGTTTCGGTTTGGATCTCATGAGGGCATATGTTGCTGAAGTTCTTATGCATGCAAGTACTCAAAGCAAAATAGGTTAGCAGTGTACTCTAATAAAACCAAGTTACTTTCAACTAAACAGTTCATTTCAAATTCATCTCAACATAAAGGATAAGCTAAATACCATCATCTCATAAAGTTGTCTATATAAGATCTCCATGTATTACTTGGAAAACAACGTAACAGTGGACACCAACTAAACAGTTCATTTCAACTCAAAAACCTATACAAATAGATAAAAGAATAAGCTAAATATCATCTCCCAAAGCTATCTATAAAAAATCTCCATTTATAGTAGAAGGCCATAATCCTTCACATGGAAATCAAGAAAGGGAGAAGTGGCTCGAAGTGGCCAAACAGTGAGAATACTGAAGGTCTTTGAAGTAAGCCCAGTCCATGTCTATGTCTCTCTTTGAGTGTATGTTAGACTTCATGTAATAATTCTCGTAAACCTTATTCATTGGAGCTCGTTTTCTTTTTGTTAGGTTTAGTTTTATTTGGCTCCTTTTTGGACTGCTGTTTTTGTAGGGTCCTTTGAATTTCATTTTCCACGATGAAAGTTCAGCTATTCAATTAAAAAAAAACAGTGAGGATACCACATTCAACACCTGACCCTACCCCTAATTGGAGTGGAGGCAACTTCTTTTTTTTAGAACAAGGAGTTGGAGCTTTGCTCCCCTAAACCCAAGGGCACCCATGCCCACCCCAAGGTTCAGACCCAAGAGACATCAACGATTTTTAGTATTAAACTCACTAGAAGATTCAAACTTCAGATCTAAGCTAGTATGACCAAAAAACCTCAAGTCCTTAATTGGGCTGCCCCTTGGAAGCTAATAGGTTTTTTTCTTTTTTTTTTTTTTTTTTTGATAAGAAACGGAAAAAATATGTATTAATCACAAAAGGACAGCCTAGGGGCGAGGAGTAGAGAGAACCCCTCCCCAAAGAAGCTATTACATGAAAGCCCTCCAATTATGGAGGATAGAGCTTAATGAGTAATTACAAAAGAATCCTTGGGGGCTAATTATAGGCAACCATATAAAAGAACCTTAGTTGTTATTTGCATGAGAATTAAGTTTGATCACAAGAACAGCAATCGGCTGGCTGAGGAATGAAGTAACTATATACTAATATAGTAATATTAAAACTCCAAGGATAATAAGAAAATTTTGGTTTGGTGAATAAACAGCTAGAATTTAATAAACTTTCAGAAAATAAATAAATTCTTACAATTTCTGGACACTCGTATTCAATCCCAGCAGCTCTTATCCTCTTCTGTCTAGCCTGATCCCGCTTCAAGATCCTCTCCACCAACTTCCTGTGTTCACTCAATGTCCTTTCCTGAAAAATATCATAAAACTAGTAAAAAGACATGTTTGTTTATGGTCTAAAAGATATTTTTCCAAGCTTATTACCTTGTTATGCTGTTTACGCTCAAGTTCGAACAAATTTAAAGGCTTGTAGCGATAGTTAAAACCTTTCCATCTGCAATATGACGACATTTGATTACTTGTAATATCGAACAACTACATCATCACATGGGATAATGCAGAAATCTAGAAGTAGAAATGTAATTGATTACTTACAGCTTTGGATGAACATGTTCGGGAGGAATTAGATGGACTTTCAGAATGTGTTCATACAACAGATAGTTATGCATAGAATCAGCTACAATTTTTGCCACCTGCGCTCACAGAATCCAAATTCAGGATAAAGTGAAAGAGATTAAAAAGAATAACTAAAATTTAGAAAATTACACACAGAAATGTCCATAGATATAACCTCCGGAGATTCAAATTCAATGTAGCCAAAGTGCCTTGACTTCCCAGTCTGCAAGTAAAAAAGATCATAACTTACAGCATGGATGAAGATAGTGGGAAAAAAAAGTTAGAAATTAAATGGAGAAATTACAATTATCAGTAAAATTTGACGATTTATTTGCAATGCAACATTCTGCTGCAAACATATTTTCTTTTGAAGAACGTTTTGCAGATATGAGTCTTACCTTTTTATTTCGTGCAATTCTTAATCTCTTGACTTTACCAAACTGTCCAAAAAACCCTGTCAAAAACTTTAACGTTAAGACCTAGCAAGCAAGAGAATGAGAAGCTTATACTTCGAATATTCACAAGACACACTTCCAATTTCATTCAACGTATAATGTCAGTGGCAAACCTTCCATCTCCTTCTCGAAGAAACCATGGGGTATGCGACCAATGTACAAAACAGTAGCAGTATTTTCCAGTGGCTTTTGTGCCGGTAACTTGCGGCCAGGGCCCCCAACCAACGGCTTGAAGAGAGAAAAATCAGAGATAAAAGTAAGAAACAATTACATAGAAATAACCAAAAATAGAATCAAAATCTGAGGCAGAGGTACAACGGTAAATACCAAGAAATCGGCAGATTCCTTCTTCTCAGACAATAAAGAAGTAGCCTTATTCAGTTTCTTCTTCATAGCTTTCTTCGCCTTAGCCCCCATTGAACTGAAACAAGCAAATAATCAAAAAGTTCAACAAAAAGAAGCGTACCCCCAAATTGCCAGCAAATTTTCGCGGCAAACTCAGCAAATTCAGAGCGGAAAAGAATTATATCTCAGAACTTCAAAATTAAAATAGAAAGGTAGAGAGATAGAGGATATGGATTGGAAGCGAAAATATTAGGGTTTAAGAGGGGAAGAAAAACGAACTATTAGGGTTTGGAGAGAACTGAGCTGCAAGAGAACTGGAGGCGGCGGAATCACAGAGAAGAGAAGGTCGAGGAATTGGGATTTTCGATTTCCCTAAAGATTAAACGCAGCGTTTCGTTTCGAGAGGTTGGACTTTTCCACAAATGCCCTTGTTCAGTATCTTTTTTTTTCTTTAAATAAATATTCGTGTAATTAAGAAGCCTGGGCTGGGATGGCCCAAGGGCTGGAGATCTATTTAGAAATCGGGTTGGTTTTTTTTTTTTTTTTCATGGATTGGGTTGGATTAGGTCAGGTTTCTCAGGCCAACCAAAAATTCAGAGTTGAGAGATCCGAATTTAATGACCAACCCGGGGTTGGGTTGTCAGGTTGTTTTTTTTTCTCTTTTTACATAGGAATTCAACAAAAGAGTACTCGGCAGAAGACTCGCACACTCAAATTGCCCAAATAATTTCTCACATATACAAGAGGTCATTACTTTGTTGGAGTTGCGTTCCATGTGGCTTGAACCCAATACCTCAAATATATCCCTTGAGGTCCTAAGCCACCCAAATTATCCCTTGTTACGTTTCGTGTTGGGTCAGATTGACTCGACTTTTTTATGCTTGAACCCGCAAACTGAACTGACATACTCGATTCAGAAAAATAGCAACTTAACTCAAACCAAGCTTTTATCTAACCCAACTCAACCCTTATGATTTCAGTTGGGTTGCTCGGGTTCTTCAGCTTTGGTTGGATGCATGCACAAGGCGTTGAATTAACCATATAACAGAATATAAATCCAAATAGAATAACATGTTTACTGAAGTTGGTATTTCTCCTAGTAAATACCAACTTCTATGGCACATCAGAAACGAGGGAAAATGAAAAATCTATCTTTATTGATAACCATCAAGCTTATAAAATGAAACAAACAAAAGTATTGTACAAATTACAGGAGAGAGAGATTGAAAATTCTTGCTTGTTTCTTTTTTCATTACAATTCAAGTATACAGTATACTGCATAGAGCAGATTTTTGCAGTAATCTCTTATTGTTCTTCGTCTCTCTTTCATCCTCAACAATACAACACAACAGCTTTCAATGAACACTCTCCCAACTTTTTGAAGAAAAAAACCAACTTTTGGTCATACCAAACTAGAACAAGTACAGTTCTTTCCAAAAAATGGTATATAATAAGTTAAGAAAAGGAAAAACTTCCCCAAAGGATTCTTCTTCTTTCCACCCTTTTTTCTCTTATTGGGGCACAGGGAAGCAATGTGTGGTATAAATTATTGTGTGAGGTTGGGCAAATGATTCTGCTAAGAGTTGGGAACCAGAGTTCCGATGTAACCGACCCCGGCGATGAAGAAAGCGAACGATTGAAGGAAGAGGTAGATGAAGTATCGGTTCTTTCCGAAGTTGAGATCATAACAGCCGCAGAAGAAGAGGTAGGCGCCAACACAAAGCTCAAGCAAATGGAGTCTGTTCATCCACATTTAGAAAGAAGGTGTGAAGGTTACAAACTCAGAAAGTTGAAGCAACTATGATATTCTACTCACTAAAGTATATACATCAGTTACGTATCTCGACGTGCTTTAATTGTTCGGTTTCCATAGTTCTTATAGTAAGAACAGTGCAACGAGATTGAGAACTCCAGTTCAATCATCTATGCCCATAATTGGGTTAAATTTCAGTTTTCCAGTTGAAGCTTATGTATATACTATTGTCTATTGCAATTTTAAACACACACATGATGGGAAATTCATATGCATAAATCTTTACCTTTCCCCGATTCTAAAACGGGGTTTCCGGGGAATTTTGGAACCCGGTTTAGTCTTTAGCGCATCCCCCAACTTCTCTGTGACAACCCATTCATTTACTCTCCCTGCTTCCAACAAACCGATGAACGTTGCCATTGTTCGATGCAGTGACATGACGTTTTCGAAGAGGATCCAGAAAATAATCAGGTGAAAGGATCTGCAATGCAAGATTATCAACTCGAGGCGAAATGCTAGAATCAAAGTGCAAACTTCTACAGGGTCATCATAATGGTATACTCTTTTTCCTCTGGTTTTCCATTCATAAAAACTAGAGGAAAGCTTTGTGGTATGCAGACATCAAAAGAACAAAAAGGTAAGAGAAAAAACCTTGGAGTTCCAACTGCATTAAGGAGGGTGATCGTCGAAGGAATGTATATGGCACCCCATTTCGGTACCGTGACTTCGGGAACCAAGACCGTAGCAGGCAAAACAACACAGTAAAATACGAACGTAACGATATGAGCCACGATCTTCCGAACAAAGAAGAAGCTGTAGATCAGGTAAAGCTTCTTCCACAGGGAGACTTTCTGCAGCACATAGGAAGCTAAATGGTTATAAGCATGAAGAAAATCCAACCAATGGATGCAACATATCAGAGGACTAGTAAAACCATGCCTTGTTCCTCATGATTTCAACAACCATCTTTTTGAAGAGGTTCGCGGGGCCGCAAGACCACCGGTGCTGCTGATATCGGTACGCTTTGAAGGTACTCGGCAATTCATTTTTCACCTGAAACAACTCACTTACATTTACCATTGCTGAACAACTAAGAAAGCTAGTAAGATTATATTCCCATTTCCAACTTTGGCCCTTTATTTCTAAAAAATATGCCAAAAGAAGTTCTGAGAGCATTGTATGACCTTGTTCAACAAATCCAGAGACTGGCCTTCTACCCCTAAACCAAAACTTACCCAAAATAACTGTATGACCTCACAACTCACAAGATATACACTCGGACTTTCCCCTTACTACATGTCAGAGACGTTTTCACTCTCTTACCCCTCTTGATAAATTATTGGACGGCTGATAGGCTTATATTGTTGGATGTATGTGTGAGAAATTACACAATGTATTTTCAAATATGTATCAAATGGTTATTATGGAGTGTACCTACATGCTACATCTAAGGTTATTAGGAGGCAGTGAGCGGCTTCATTCAATAATTTGTTCTTCTATGTATAGACATTCTCAATCAAGGGCCAAACACAGTCTTAAATAGTGTTCAAACTCCTAGGTGTCGTTTGATAACCATTTCATTTTTAGTTTTATATTTTTATATTTATTAAGTTTTCACCTCTCGAAAACAAATTTGAATTTCTAATCAAATTTCAAAAACAAAAAATAAGTTTTGGAAAACTTTTTTTTTCTTTAACAAAGGAACACATTGGGGAAGTGATGCTTTTAAGCTTAATTTTTAAAAATTGATAACAACAAACGAAATGGTTATCAAACGGGACCTTAGTAATTTAAAAACTTTTCGCCCCTGAGCGAAGCCTCTCGAATAGAGGTGGGTTACGAGCATAATTGCAAGGAGTGGGGTGCTCAATATCCGTCATGAGAATGGAAAAATGAAGTAGAAATACCTTGAGGTCACCAACATAGACAAACTTCCATCCTTTGAGGCTAGCTCGTACAGCCAAATCCATATCCTCAACAGTGGTGCGGTCCTTCCATCCTCCAGCCTCGTTCAGTGCAGCAATTCTCCAAACACCTGCTGTGCCTAAACGAACTCCATAGTTTTTTGTTAGTTCCAACTTCCAGAGCTCTGAAACTTCCATGGATTAAAGCCATTGACATTATATATTTCAATCACAGCTTACCATTGAACCCAAAAAAGGCATGAGTTGCAGACCCAACTTCTTGCTCCACTGTGAAGTGGTAATCCAATGACATCTCTTGCATTCTCGTCATCAAACATTCATCCGAGTTCACTGATCATCGCAGAAACCAAAATTGCAGAAACCAGCTTCAAAAATCATCTAATCTTACCTCGTTTCTGAAGATTTACATGAAATCAAGAACAGAAGAAAGCTTACCGAACTTCCAGCGGGCTTGAACGAGAGCGATTTCAGGGTTGTTTGTGAGAAATGGAATGGTGCGCCAAAGAAAATCAGGGTCGGGCTGGAAATCGGCGTCGAAAATAGCGACGAAATCGCAGAGTTTAACGTAACTGTGCTTCATTCCCTCTTTCAGAGCCCCTGCCTTGTACCCATTTCTGTTGTCTCTGATCTCGTATTTTATGTTTATGCCTTTGCTCGCCCATCTTTTGCACTCTAATTCCACCAGATCCTGTTGGTTTTTCGTCCAAAATCACACGAACCCACATCAGAAATTCGAAAAAAAATGGTGGGTTTCGAACAAAATCTGTGTTGATAACTGATTTTGATGGGAAATTTTCCAACTGAGAGAAGAATTCAGAAGAGAGAACTTTATACGCAGATTTTCGATCAGGACGATCGCTTGGTTTCCTTACACTTCCAATTGTAAAAATTTGAATTGAGGAAGAAAAAGTGGAAGAAATCAAAACCATTTTGAGAAAGTTTACGTTATTGTACTAAAAAAATAATAACTTCAAAAAAGAAAAAAAATAAATAAAGAAGCTTGGTTTTTGTGAGTTTATTATACTGTTGTTCGTTCACTTTCATTGGTGTTCTAACTCATTCCTTGACTAACTAACTTGGAATTTAAATAGTAATAAAAGCAATTAAAAAAAGAGTTGGCTTTTCCAATAATGACTTTATATTAAATAATATTTGACTCTTAGGATAAGTCTAATCAACTAATTTTATAAACCAAACCATGCAATCTTTACTTTTTGGGGTTCTACTCTCATGATTAAAAATAATAAAAATCCCAATTAAAGTGTAAATTTTTCCTTTTAGTTTTTGCTCATTTTAAGTTATGTATTAGATTCACGACACGAGCTTAGCTCGTAGTGTTTTCATCTATCTTCAATCATTCAACTACGAGGTTGTGAATTTGAATTTCCATCATATTAATTGTATTAACAAAATCATGTATTAGATTCAACGTCAAATCCATTTTTCAACCCAGGATAGAAATTTGAATCATCTGTTTTTAGTAAACCATACATGGTTTACTCAATTGAATTTATTAGGAACACAGAAAAATAAATAAATTTAAAAATAGAGAATAAGATTATGGTTTGAGGATAAGAAGTTTGAAAAATGAAACCTTGATAGAAGGGTCAGTAGAATCATCAAGAACTTGAATTATAATCCTATCAGATGGCCATGAGAGCCCACATGCTGCTCCAATTGACAGTTGATAAACCTGATGCAAATTACACAACATAAACACAAAAAAGGAAGGAAAAAAAAAAAGTCCAAATTTTTTTAATATATTTTGAATACGGGAATGCTTTGATCTCTAACGAAGGAGTTAAGTTAAGCTCATGTTGGCATGAAACCGACAAGTAAAATAATACGAAATAGATATATAAAAATATTCAATCCTTTCAATATATTCTATGATTTTTATAGTAACACGGAACTAACCGTTCAAATAAAAAATAAAAACGAAAGAACTTAGGTAGATATTTCTAATATTTAAATATTTAAAAAGTTTCTATTTAATTCCTTATATTAAAGGTTTTGTAGGTGGGGATATGAGGATTCGAACTCAGAAATTCTGGGATAGAGTCATATATTTAATTACGGTCGGTTGAACTAAGTTCGTGTTGACTGTATCTAACATTTTTCAACTATTTACGTGAATCTTAAAGCTAACTAATAGTAATTAGTAAGTTTAAATGGCAGTAGAAATTTCAACAACGAATTAAGCCTCATAACTCTCTAAGAAATCGACACAAACTTGTGGCCTAACTTATCATCGGTCAGTTTTACCAGAGAATGTTAAAACACGAACTATTAAATTCAAAACTTTTTAAACGACGACTAATTCCGTTAGAACTAAAATGTAAATTTAGCGGAGAACTGACCTCCTTCTCATTGTACATGGGAATTTGGACCAAAACCATGGGGTAAGCGGAATGAGCAAGCTCAAGATCATCTTTAATGGGGTCCCAGTTGTAAGTTTTGTGGGGATTTTTCCTGGAGAGCTTGAGGAAGAGGATGACAATGGCCATATAAACTCTTTCAAAGAACAGCATTAGGGACATCCCCAAGCAGGCACCCACACAGAGCTTCAAAATTGGTGCAATGAGAGGGCCAGTGGCTTGCTCCCAAAACAGGCCCCCCATTTCCGCCATTGATGGACCTTCAAGCTCAAACACACAGGATTTTTTCAAGATTTAAAGAAGCCCAAATTTTGGAGTGATTTTTGCTTGTGGGATACGTTTGTGTGTCAGAGTTTGCTTTTGGTTGAAAACAGAGGAGCTTTTGAGATGAAGCCCAGATGGGCAAAAATGGCAGATCAAGTAGAAATCTCTTATTTCTCTCTCTGAAAAAATTATCTCTAGAGAGAGAGATTTGGGTTGAAATTGGAAATTTGGAAATGGGTTTTTTTCTTCTTTTTTTTTTTTTTGGCTGCCATTTTTCAAACAGATTTCAAGTGTATTTATATGGAAGATAAATGATTATAAAAGTTGAGAAGGAAAGAGACATTAGGCCAAAATTTAGTGCCATTTTGAATGCAAACTCTGTTTTTGCCATTTTTTTTATTTGATATTTAATTGATTTGTTATTTGAACAAAAAATTGAAAAAAAAAAAAAAAAGTTTAGCCATCATTTTCTGATTAATTTTTATGGGGTAGATGGAAATATGGGAATTGTGTGCTTTATTGTTGTTGTAGGCTTTGTGGGTAGCTCAGCTTTGATTTTTAAGATATAAATAGCTAACAACCATTATAATAAATGAAAATATACTTTCTCACTGTTTCATAATGTTTACTAGAATTTGGAGTATCTTTTTCTAATAATAACACGAAAAATGTGGGGCGAAAATTTAAGGATTATGACGAAAGATTACTAATGCTTTACCCCTTAAGCAATGTGTTATACGTGAAATGTACTAAGTTTACTTGAAATGAGGCCAAAAAAGTGACATAAATCAGATTGTTTAGGTATATCTTCACAATCCTATTCTTTGTTACGTACACTCAACTAAACTTATTTTCTCACTTAGGTATTAGAGTATGTTGGGCTGAGCTTAGCACTGGTGTCTGGTAGTGCAGATCTCTTATGTGTGCAGATGTTTGTTCGTATGGTATCTCAAATCCAAATCTTAACCCAACAGTACAATTTGAAGACTATTTGTTAAGTTTGAGCATAACAAAGAATAGGGTCGTGAAGATATACTACACCGATGCACATATCTCTTGCGTGGAAAAGTGTTCGTTGAAGCCTCCAGCATTGCATCTCGAGTTTAAATCACACATCAACGCTCTACAATATTGGGAAAACGTGTTGAATTGTATATATATATATTATAAATAGCAATTTAGCAACAAACATTATTTTACATGCCAAAGTTGTGAGCTTTTGGAATCAAGAAAGTCTAGACAGATAATATAACATATTCCATGTTTATTTTTAAAGTAATTAAAGAAAATGATGCAGATGGGATGATTGGAAAAATTATCTTTTATTAATCATGATAGTATTACTATAGCGGTCAAATCGTTGTAAGGAAATCTCGTTAACGAAATGGCTATAGATATCAAAAGAGAGTAAGAGAGAAAAATGGGATGTATATATTTTTTTTATTCCAACTTTTTGATCTTTAGAAAGATAAGTAATCACGTCGATCATGTATATTATCTCTAATACGTACTGTATCTAAAAGCTAAATATCACTTCATGCATCAAGATTATGAACATATTGTGAAACGACGGATATGATATAAAAATCTCTTGCATCTATTATTTGTAACTCCCGAAAGAAACCATCCAATAAAAAAGAAAGATTCAAAAACAACAAATTTGTTCACTGTCATTAGCTACAAAGTCATTCAACAAAAGATAAATAAAATGTTAAAATATTATTTAAGTCCTTTTCAAAATATTTATTTTAGTCTACTTCCAAAATATTTTGATTCCCATACTTTTAAAAAAGGACCATTTTGACCCTTTAATTTTATTTTTAATCTCATTTTTTTTATATCACAATTGCAACACGACAATACATTCAATATATTTTTTGAAATGTATTCGTAACTTTATATTAAAGAGTTTCCGTTAGGTGTGAAATTTGTATTAAAATTTTATAAATACGGACCAAAATGATCACTTTTTAAAAGCAGGTAAACCAAAACGAATATTTTGAAAATATAAAAACTAAAATAAGTCAAAGTTAAAAATATAGGGACCAAAATAAACCAAAGTACAAAATAAGATTTTAACCCAAATAAAAATTCTTTACTGAAAATAAAGCTTATTGGATGATTTTCAATCATAAATTCACTTGAACGTCCAATTAGAACCTCAGCATTTTGGCATATCAAAATCAAGCAAAGTTTTTTTTTTTCTTGTATGTGAAATGTGAATGATTAAAGAATTTCACCTTCTTCAGATCCAGAAGAAAATGCATGATTCCTAACACATTACATTATTGGCAGTCAGTCAATGATTTCATAATTCCACCCTCCTTCCAACAATAACTGGAAAATCAAGTAATCTGTCCCTGTTTTGAATGAACAAAAAAAAAAAAAAATTGAAATTTATATGATTTTCCATTTTTCTTTTCTTTTTCTGGTTACCTGGAAAATCTCAAAAGTAGGTAAGGATATAAGACCATTACCAGCTGAGGTTTAGATCCATGGAAGCAAATCTGAAAATGTCTCAAAATGCATATAATTGAAAAGGACACAATTTATCTCTTTCTTACAGCTCTTGGAAACAATTTTGTTTGATAACAATTCTTCCCTTTTCCATTCAGTTAAAAAACACATTTGGTCCATGTACTTTCGTTGAAGCAACAATTTAGTGCATGTACTTTTAAATTGGTAACACTTTAGTCTCTGAACTTTAGTAGATAGCAGTTTAGTCCCTATAGTTTAAAATTTGTAACAATTTAGTCCCTACTGTGAAAAATCCCATCAAAATTAAGTGTCGTTTTTTATCAATTCAATCTTTGTAATTCATAAACACATATATAAGAAACCTTATTAAGTCTGGACAAAAATTTTCAACATGGTCTAAAATATTACATACTAAAATTCGACTAAATTTCTACCGGTTACCAGTATAGAAATCCAGTAACTAAATTGTTATAAACTAAAGTTTATGGATCAAACGTATTTTTTAACTTTCCATTTCTACTGTTTTTTCTGAACTTGACTAACCAAAAAAAAAAAAAATATATATATATATATATATATATCTAGTCTTCAATATCAATGAACAAATGTTTAGCTTAAAAGAAATTAAATACTCTCAAAGGTTACCTCATTGAAAAGTTTCTCCTTGGTCCATCTGATAAAAGTGCTTATGACTCTGCTTAAACAAGGAGTCAGTAAAAATTGCAGGGAAATTAAGCTTGTAGACAGCAGCAGTTGCCAAGTAATTATCTCAAATTTGCAAGCAGCCTGCAACACTGAAAATTTTCTCTCTCTAACTCTAGTTCTCACTCTAGATTTCCCTGCCATATTGAAGACTCTAGGCTGCAGAATGGACAACTCAACTCAACTATATGATCAGAAACAACTATCAAGAGTGAAAAATAAGAACATGCATTAATCTGTAAGCAACAGCATCTCCCAGACTACATGAACATTGTTCCACTTCCTATGTAATTTACCTAATTCTAATGAAGTGAGACTTCATGAGGTGTCCAATGAAACATCTAGCCAAAAAAGAGAGCTATTATTCCATCAAAATCATCCATCTAGAGAAACAAATCATTATGAACCAAAAATTCGAAAATATAAACCCAGATCATCTGTTTCTTTTTATTTGACATCCCTGAGTGTTGGAGCTAGTATTCTCACGAGCCAACCACTTGATTAAGCTACAATTAATTAACAAAGAAACTCATAGGATATCAAATCCTAGGGAAGTGGTCGTCATGGTTTGAACTCATTCTTTCTAAGCCTTTTACTATTTTACTTATTGATCACTGGGTCATCACATGTATATTGGCATTATGCGAAAAACTACCAAAGGAAACAAATGGAAAAAGTAACTGCGGTACAGTGTTCATAATCATATGTAGGTATTATATGAAAAAACTATCAAGGAAACGAATGAAAAAAGATTTTGTGCAAAGTTTCTTATATTAGAGATCTGTGGCCACTGTAACACAAGGCTTATACAGAGAACAAGTTTTGGGCAATCTTGAGAGCTATATTATTCAATCAGAATCATCCATCTCAAATCAAGCAATTATGAACTGTGAAATTCAGAAAACAAATATAGATTATCTACAGTATATATGGCGGGAAACAAGTCAAGGAAGCTAATGAAATCAATGAAAAAGACAGCAAGTTTCTTATATCAGAGATTTGCAGGGTGAGTCATGTGTGTGTGGGGGTTTGGTCAACCTTGGGAGTCAAGTTTACCGGAAGTGTTAGATGAAGAGGTGGAGTGTCCAGCTCAAAGCTAATTGTGAAGTAAGAAAGGAACTTCAAAGAGACTAAAGAAGCTATCTTGAATCACAAGCTTTAAAAGCAGCATCTCAACAAATTCATAATTTAAAGAGAGAGAGAGAGAGGAAAAGGGATTTGAGTGGATGGGAAATCATTTTTGATGTCTCTAGGCTTTTAGGCTGTGGACATCTGTGAGTTTCTCACCAACCACAGTGCTTCAGGACATACCGCACAAATATGGCTAATTTAAGATTACAGAAACATGAGTATAAACAATATAGTTGCCTATTATCTGATATAAAAATTAAAAAAACAAATACTAACAACTTAATTTCAAACTGACTATTTATGTTCCTCTAAACTTTTTTTCCCATCATTGTCTATTAAATAATTAAAAAGCCGGGTTATCTTTATTAAAAAAAATGTTAAGATTGGAGAGATGCTCTAGAATAATCAGCATAAAGTATTTTGTTGATTATTTTATATATATATATATATATATATATATATATATATGTAAAATCAATTGCATTGCTTGTGTATCTGTGTCTGTGTGCAAAGGATATTATATTTTTATCACCTAAATTATAACTTAATTTAAATTGAGCTTTAGAGATTTGATTAAAAAAAACTAATCTATATTCTATAAAGAATTGTTTTTTACAAATTAAATCTTTTATACTTCTTCCTTATAATAAATCATAGAAGGGGGCTGAAGCAAACTAAGTGAATGCATGTCTAAAATATGACTTCAAATACAATCAAATTATTATTATTTATAAAAATAAAATAAAAAGGTTCGTCCACTAATTCCACATAATCTGGATTCCAATTCTTCTCAAGATTACAGGCTTTTGCAGCACACAGAGAGTAATAAAAATCAATAAATTCACTTATGCATAACATCTCAACAAATGGATTGAATTGAAAAGAAGTTACTATTCTTTCAATAGCTTTGTGTTCACAAGCTTCCTATTCGTCATTAGACTGAATGAAGAATATTCGTAGCTAAGAAATAGATAAGGTGTAGAATTATCTGATGAAAAAGTAGAAACTAACCATTAGAAAATATTCAATGGTCAAAATTTTTTTATACAGACATGATGATGACAATCAGGAGGACAAGAGGTAATTAATGTTCAGGATTCAGATGTGCCTTGTGTGAGGCATAAGTATCTTACAGTTTCAGGGACAGCCTGCCCACATTGTTCAAGGATTTCAACTAATGAACCAGCAACCGATGCTTCTTCCTTGGTAATGAAGCTGTGCAACACACCATTAACAGAGTGCCGGGCCATTCCTGTTAGAATCTGAACGTACTTGTCTATTGGTGGAAAAGCATCGAGTATGAATATGGTCTCATAATTTCCGAGATCTATGGTATTAATTTGCTCTATGTCAATCTTGGCAACTACGGGCCTCAACCTGCTGTCTACCTCCAAACTGAACAAATGTGAAGAGTAAAAACGGATTTGATTTAGTAGATTGCAAATATGGTTCATGGGAAGCTCGTGTAGTGATAACAATACTAATGAGGAAATTTTTTGACAAAATATAATTGGAGGAAGAAACACATGCCAATCCTTTAAGTTCTAGGATGGAGGGCTAATAATAATTACAAGTTTCAAAGACACTCGGACATTTTTCTGGCACCCTCAGTTCTATTCCAATATTTACCAGATGAAATTCACATGCACCCTAACTTCTACAGAAAACCCATCAAAGCCTCAGAATTCCAGTAGGGAGACAAGGAATGAACTACCAATCAAGAAAGGGTACGTTGGTAAATAACTTAAATGCAGTGCCGCAGAAAATTTTCAAGAAAAATGATAAATGCACACGTGTTGGTTGTCAAACAAGGCCCAGACACAAAAACTTTACAATATCATAAACAAGCTACAGGCATGTGCATGCTTACTTGTTCTTAAATTCTGAGACACCAAATAATGCTCCAGCTAAGATATCATGGCCCTTGGATTTCAGAGCAGTGGCTAATTCGTGAACATTACACTCTTTCCCAAGAATAAAGAGCACCTTCAGTAGCTGTGGACGGTGCTGACTGCCATTGGCTTGATCCAGAGCTTTGATGACCTTCAAAGATCATTAATGATGACAATTAATAAAGTTCCATTGTAGTGTAAGAGAGTAAAATGAAAAGTCGATGATAATAGGAGAAGCTTCTTTTCTTAGTATTGGAATTGCTGCAAACTATGACTTTAGAAATAAGAATTACCAACTCAAAAGTGAAAACTCAAAAGTGATTGACCAAAATCAGAATATAGGGTCACGTCCACTATCAAAAGTTTCCTAGAAGCTTGGATAAGACATCTATCCATTTACATCATAACTTCGAAGTAACTGCTACTTCAAGGTTAGAGAAGTTAGGCTCACAATAACAACATCCAACTCATCATAAGGTTTTTTCCTTTCAGAAAAAGTATTGGAAGACTGAACAGAGATTTCCCGGTTACTAAAGTATGTAAAGTTTACCTTCGATCGTTTTTCCTCTTCAGAAGTATAGAAGTTTATCGACTGGATAGTGCAGGCACTTTGACTGGCAACAGAAGCATCAAGAGACAGTCGACGAATCGGGCCCCAGAGGAGGTCTTGCAGAACTGGAACATAGGCACAGCTGAAGCTATCACTGAAAACAATTGTATGCAGATTGCTCGATATAGACTTCCTGATGGATTGTGTCTTATTAAGATAACCACCTCTTGAAAGAGATTCCAGTCCATCAACAACCTAATACAATGTCAAGGAGGAGGAGGAGGAAAAGGAGAAAAAAAAAACCAATAGATTATAAATCTTAAAACAGAATGTCATAATACTGGCAATTGGCATTTAGTGAATACTGTATAATTCTAAAGTAAAAACGAGTCACTCGTTCATCTTCAGAGACCTGATTTGGAAAAAGATTTTTTTCTTTAGTTAGACATTGAAATGGAAGAATATAATTGTCATTACGTTGTAGGAGAGATATCCATAAAGCCTGAGAAGTGAATAACCAGATACGAAGTCTTATACAGTAAATAAGCACTTAAAGTCATCACAAGGAACAGTGGATAATAAAATACAAACTAATATGTCAAATAATAAACAAAGATCATCAAATTACCAGCAACGATACACCAGAAATATCAATAGCCTTCACTGCAACGAGCTCCAAGAGTCTCTCAGGTGTGGACACGAGAAATTCAGGTTCACAGCTCTTCAAACTATGGAAGAGGGATAATATCCAATTAGATATCAAATTATTAATAATAATAATTATAATTAAAAAAAAAACAGATAGAGTGCAGTTCACAGCGCTAAATATATATACATGTCAAGTAATCACTGCCAGATCCATTGTATGTGCACCAGCAGGTACCAGAAGAAAGATAAACAAAGAATTCATTAATCATACTCTAAAATCTTTACGAGCTCAAGCACAAACAAAAATCTGTTGCTATGTATCATGATACATAGGCAAGCTTACCCTTGAATTTGGTGATCTAGGGATGCCCCAGGATGTATGCTCACGGTATGTACTCCAAGAGCCTTCAATGGCTTGCACATGGAGCGAACTTGAGTAGCTTTCTCTTGGGTCGGAACAAGATATAAAAGATAAGGGCTACTAAAAGATAAGCCTTCTTTCTCTTTCCTAGCAATACTGTCAGCAGCCGAAGAAACCACCCATGCAATTTGCTCATCTGTAGAAGACAACCCACTGGTGTCCAGAATATCCTTCCCAGAAGAATAACATTTCCAGAATTCAATTCCCCAAGTATCAGCAAACAGAGGCTTTCCATTTCTGTTGATGGAATCATGATGTAGTGCATTCTCTATTGCATTTAAGCAGAGTATAAGAAACTTTGAGGGTGAAATACAACTTTCAGAATCTTCTCTTTGATTCTGAAAGCTCTGTACCCCACCTTTCACATTTGCATGAACTTTTGTTCTTTCAGGATCTGTCTTGCTTCTTTTAGCTATGTGGCCATTACTGAGGGTATCTCCAGACCCTTCTTTTGAAGGCTTACTTTTCTCACGGCCAACCTCTCGAACGGTTCCATTAGGTGATGAAGTACTCTTATCCTTTGAAAATGCTCTCTTGGAACCTTTTGAAGGCGTGGTCTTAGTTTCCCTCTTATTCAAATCTTTCTTGCCATTCCTGTCGTTGTATGGATCGTCAGGAGTAGGAAGGCTAAAGCACATTCCCTGTAATATAACAAATTTGAACTCCATATATGTACAACCACTAAGATTAACATAAATATCAAGTACACCCACGGGGAAAATAAATAGCAGGAAGTGTAAAATAATCAATCAACCGATACTACACTACTGACAAGAAAGGTAACACTTCGTCGGCTTCAGCTAACCAAAGCTCGTTTGGTAACGTTCTCGTTTCTAATTTTATTGAAAAATCTAAGCATTTAACAATTACTCATATTACTTGTTTCTCATAAACATTCTCAAGATTATGCAGAAATTTTGGAAACGACAAAAACAACTTTTTTTGTTTCTTCTTCCTCTTTCCAATTTATTCCAACACAATAAAGATCTTGTTTCATAATTCTTGACTCTGTACGGGGATTGGGAGCCATACAAATCTATTTTTCTTTATTAAAAAATAAGAAAATATTACCAAACCGTCCCTCGATGTGCCGAAAGTCAGCATTTTTCAGCAGCAAACTGCGTTTACGAGTTACAGTTTAAGTGTGATCTAATTAAAACAAAACAAGCTCGTAAATCATCTTTCCTAACAAGCTTTTGAACACTGTGCTGCCAATTGAACGACACTGATTTACAAGTTATGGAATCCCTGAAGTAAGATTAACTTCGCCTACCAAGTTACCAATAAGAAATCCAAACTGAATGATCCTCTTTTTATGAGTATTGACCCTCAAACAAAGGCCGCTACTCTAAAGCATATAATAGCTTCACAAATCCAAAAATATGATGGAACAAAATAAGAATGAACACGTCGGGAAGTTACCTGGCATTGTCTGCGTTTGCCGGACTTGCGGCGCTTCTTGGCGGCGATTATGGCAGCAACGCGCGCAGAAACCGACGAAGAAGAGGCACCGTCCTTGCTTCTGAGCTTCTTCCGGGCAGCTTTGTTCCTCTTCCGCATCGCCACATCGTCACCCTTCGCCATTGAAACTTAGAAGACGAAGGTTGCTGTGGAGCTGCTGCGACTTGCGAGAGTAGAGGCGCCCTCTATTCGCAATGCCACCATTTTGTGTAAAGTGGTCATTTCCTCGGTGAGGTGGGGCTACGTTGGTAATTTCCTTCATATTTTTAATAAATATGTTCCTTAGTAATTTTTTACCGGAAATTAATGGGAAAAAAACCCATAAACGTAGGTGATTTTTTTTTTAATGATCAATGCATTGTGTCGATTTGAATTCGATTCAATAAAATGATTTAGATGTTGTAATCGTTGAGTTGTGTTTTTTTCAAAATAATAATAATAATAAATAACC